CAAGAGAAAAAGAAGTAAGTTATTAATTCCACTCAAGGGGCTTCTCTTCTCTCCATTTGTGCCATAACAGGTTATCACAGAGATTTATTTGAGCAAAATTTGTTTAAAAAGATATTAAAAACTGTGTAATTTTTATAAAATAGTTTTTTTCCATTATTTTATTCAAACTCCAACCAAACTTGTACCATTGTATATATTGTATTCCATTATATATCACAGGTAATGCAAATAGTAAAAAAATAATAGTAAATAGTAAATAAATTGTAAATAAAACTGACATAATGCTGAGATAAACAGTTAACTTAAGAGATAAACAATTTATTTGTTAGTGGAGAGGTAAAAAGGAATCTTTTATATAAAAATTCATCTTTATACAGCCTGTAAAAAACCAAACTCTAAATAAATTGTTAGCTAATTTTAGCTAACAAACTGCTAACAGTCAGGCTAAAGGTACAATAGATGAGCTACTTAAACTATATGTAAAATGTGAGTTCAAGTTAAAAAATATAAATTATGTGAAGTGTTTAAAGGCTGTAATTGGTATTCAGTATTATTAGATTAAATATTTTTTGTGTAACATACTTGGAAAAGAAAGAATTGGATGGTTTTTGAAAAATTGTTGAATTTTTTATGTTATGGCTAAATAATAATGATGTCAATGGTAAATTCAGACATTTTCTAAACAATTTTTGGAAGGTTTTTAAAAAAAATGTTGCCATTCTTTATGTTATGGAGAGTTTCTTATCACTCCACAAGTCTCAGCTTAATAATAATGATGTCAATGGTAAATTCAGCCATTTTCTAAACAATTTTTGGAAGGTTTTAAAAAAATTTTTGGGCATTCTTTATGTTATGGCGAGTTTCTTATCACTCCACAAGTCTCAGCTTAATAATAATGATGTCAACGGTAAATTCAGACGTTTTCTAAACAATTATTGGAAAGTTTTTTTTAAAAATGTTAAATTTTTTATGTTATGGCTAAATAATAATGATGTCAACGGTAAATTCAGACATTTTCTAAACAATTATTGGAA